CCCCAAAACCCCAAAACCCCAAAACCCCTAAACCAGATCAATATATTGAAGATTATCAATTAACTAAATTTATGCTACTTCTAGCATAAGTGTTCTAAAAATTTAAAAGATTTCTTAGTTGAGAATTTGTCTGAGGTTGGGGCTTGAGCTTCGATATTAATTTTGTTAAGCAATGTACAGATATTTTGGTCCCTTTGAAGACTTTCTGGGAGAGAGATATTTCTTGATCTTGGATATATAACTGAATTATGGAGATGAGTCAAAATTTTGAAGCTAATAAGGAGCTAATTTTAAATTAAATTTTAGTGGTTCTGTATGAGGGGTATAAGTTTAGCTTCTATAGTGAGTCTCTTAACTCTCTTGATATCGATTTTTACATTTCATAATTGCTTGAAATAAGGGAAGTAACTTCTCAAGCTGATCGCTCCAGCTTTTTCTTCAGTGAGATTTGGAGTTGATTAATCATAAAATCTTAATCCTAAACCTTGTTGAAGAGGTTAGTTTGATATTCTCAATACTGGCTTCTCAGTTTGTTAGAAATAATTTCAAGCAACCAGAACTACAATGTATGATTTTCATCAGGTTTTATTAGAAATCTCATAGTTACCAATGACAACGCTGGATTGAACTCTTGCTAGAGAGTTGGCTACAGATATTGTAAAATAATTCGATGCATCTAGTTTTTGGAGTTTTAATGAAAATAGTCCAAAACTTGTAATATTTATGTGAGCAGCCTGGTTCAGCATAATTTTCAAGATCTTTCTTGATTGCTTGCCTATATCTTCAAGGCAGAATATGGGTAACGATCAAATTGGTCTGAATATTGGGAATATTTTAGCATAATAACATTCGTTTTCTTTATTTGTAATATTCTTTTATTGCAATAATTCCTTCTATGATTGATAGGTATCGGCTAACTGAAGTGTTCTCGTGTTGATTGTTCTCTAATTTTTTGAATAACAAGTCATCTAGATCATGCAATGGTTTCTCAAATTTATGAGTTTTAGATAGTTTTGCTCTTTTTTTGTTCTGAAATAGACTCCATTTTTTACGCTGATTGAAATTTATTACTCAATTCTTAGAATAATTTACGGGGTTTTGGGGTTTTGGGGTTTTGGGGG